CCAGAAGAATGGAATCCCAGCTAAGGGCCAAGGACATCACTTAGAAACTGGCAGGAATTTTGCTAGGCAGATTCACCAACCCCTACGTTCGGTGTTAGATTGGATTTGGAGAAAGGTGCTTAGATATAATTGTGCTACTGAGTCTGTGGAGGATGATGTGCACCAAATAGAAAAAGAAGCTTAGTCTCTGGCTCTTCATAGAATGACTCCATCAGAGAATGGGGGCAAGATCATCACTGTGGTGAGAATGTGGTGTCATAGCTCAGGACAGAGGTTTTAATCACCGTATACTTGAGTTGGAGTCCTGACTCTGCCTCTTAGTAGCTGTGTCATCTTGGGCAAGTAACATTCTCTAGTTAAGTTTTCATATCTAAAATGGAGATAAAAAATAAACCCCCCGAGATGGGTGCAGTGGTTCATGCCTGTAATCCCAACACTTTGGGAGGCCGAGGAGGGCAGATCACGAGATCAAGAGATTGAGACCGGCCGGGCTCAGTGGCTCACCCCTGTAATACCAGCACTTTGGAAGGCCGAGGCAGGTGGATCACGAGGTCAAATCAAGACCATCCTGGTCAACATGATGAAACCCTGTCTCTACAGAAAATACAAAAATTAGATGGGCATGGTGGTGCATGACTATAGTCCCAGCTACTCCTGAGGCTGAGGCAGGAGAACTGCATGAACCCAGGAGGCAGAGGTTGAGGTGAGCCGAGATCGTGCCATTGTACTCCAGCCTGGATAACAAGAGCGAAACTCCATCTCAAAAAAAAAAAAAGAGAGATGGAGACCATCCTGGCCAACATGGTGAAACCTTGCCTCTACCAAAAATACAAAAATTAGCTGGGCTTCTGGAGAGGCCTCAAGGAACTTTTATTCATGGTAGAAAGTGAAGAGGGAGCAGGGAGCAAGAGAAGGAGCTAGGAGGAGGTGCCACACACTTTTAAACAATCAGATCTCATGAGGACTCACTCCCTTGCACCAAGGAATGGTGCTATATCATTCCTGAGAAATCTGCCCATAATCCACTCATCTCTCACCAGGTCACACCTTCAACATTGGGAATTACATTTCAATAAGAGATTTGGGGACACAAATATTCAAACTATACCAATAAGCCAGAAGAAAACTCACAATTAAATAATCAGCCTCTCTTTTTGTCAGCTTTTAATCTTATGTTATGTTTAGAATCTTCATCCTTGTAAGTGGGATCAAAAATTGGGCTAACCCTTCAGGAAGGCAACTAGGCAGTATGTTTGAAGGTTCTTAAATATTTTTAGCTTTTGCTTAAGTAATTCCACATCTAGGACTCTATCCTAAGGAAAAAGCTAACAGGATGGTAAGGAGGACAATCTAATAACATGAAAATTTTATTTTAAAATACATGTACAATGGGGTGAGGTGGCTCACATCTGTAATCCTGGCCCTCTGAGAGGTGGAAGCAGACAGATCATTTAAGCTCAAGAGTTTGAGACAAGCCCTGGCAACATGCTGAAACCATATCTCTACCAAAAACACAAAAATTAGCCAGATGTGGTGACACATGCCTGTAGTCCCAGCTACCCAGGAGGCTGAAGCAGGAGGATCACTTGAACCCAGAGGCAGAGGTTGCAATGAGCTGAGATCACACCACTGTACTCCAGCCTGTGCAACAGAGCTAAAACCTATCTCAAATTTTTTAAAAATACATGTATAACATTGTGATACTGTTAAGAATATATATGCGTGTACACAAACCTGCACAGTCTGCCCATGTACCCTGGAACTTAAAATAAAAACAATTTTTTTAAACAAGAGTATCTAGAAAAAAATGCTGGAAGTTAGTGTGCCAAAATACTGAGTATTTGAGTTAAAAGGAGATTTTTTTTTGTTGTTTCTCTATTTTCAAATTTTGTGTAATGTGTTTTACTATTTCATGATGGGAGGAAAAAAACTGATTTTTTAAAATGATGAACAGGAAAGATGCCTGAAGACACACAAGGAAAAGCATAGGTTCTGACAACCAAGCCTCAGTAAGTTTGACATAAATCCACAGCCCAATGGTTAAACAAATGGTTTATGGGTATGAAGATGAATGTGGAATGATGACTGAAAAGCAGCATGAACTCTCTTCAAATATTTGAAGGTTTCAACCAATTAAATCCAATTCTGTTTTTTGACATCATTATTAGGTTAGTAGAGAAAGGGAAACACTCTAGCTATCACGAGTGTCCTTCTTTTAGCAAAGCATTTGGTGACTTATCTACTGGCATCCTTGGGAGTAAGATACTGAACTGTGGATTGGGATATGGTACTTCTAGATGATTTGACAGCTGTTTGTACAAACTGTATATGAACAGTTCTGCTCAACAACTGTAACATGAAACACCCAAACTCCACAGAGGTTTATTAGCTGCCATAGGTCTAGATTATATGAAAGGTAAATGAAGACTTGAAGAATGATTCATTATTTTTTAAGAAAGCAGAGGCACAAATGTCTCCCACAAATATCAACTATTGCTTTGTGTTTTAAACTTAAATCTTTAAGTTTATTTATTTATTTTTGAAACAGGGTCTCACTCTGTCACCCAGGCTGGAGTACAGTGACATGATCTCCACTCACTGCATCCTCAACCCCCTGTTAGAAATAAACTTTTGGTGCTACAAAAGGAAAAGCACTTGAACATAAATTTTCTCAGCAAGGCAATTTACTGCTATAGAATGGTGTGTCTCGTGGATGGAGCAATGGTGAGCACACACCTGAACAAGGGAGGGAAAGGAATTCTTATGCCTAATGCAGGTAGCCCCCACTGCTCTGTGTTCCCCTGTTGGCTAGGGTTGGGCAGCACAGTCTAAGCTAATTCTGATTGGCTATTTTAAACAGAGCAGGGGTGTGAGCCGCAGTGGCCAGGTGAGCAGTTTTGACAGGAAAGATGGTTATGGAACAGGTAACTAAAGGTGACTCAAGTCAGAGCAGGTGACCAGGAGTGACTAGGATGAAGCAGGTGACCAGGCGAACAGATGTGAACTACTGATTAGAGCTGGTGAGAAGGTTGTTTACTGAAACCAGGAGCAAGGAGATGAGGAATTTAAACTTTACAATGGAGAACAAAGAACAGGGAAACTGAACATACTGACATACTGATTCTTTGGAGAGAAACTTAGAACTAGCTGTATTTAACACTCCCAAGCTCAAGTGATCCTCCCATCTGAGCATCCTGAGTAGCTGGGACTACTGGTGCTTGCCACACCCTGCTAATTTTGAGTTTGGTTGTTTTGTTGTTGTGGTGGTGGTGGTTGTTTTTCTTTGTTTGTTTGATTTTGGTAGAAATTGGATTTTGCCATGCTTCCCATGCTGGTTTTGAACTCCTGGCCTCAAGCAATCCACCAGCCTCAGCCTCAGCCTCCCAAAGTTCTGCGATTACAGGCTTGAGCCACCCCACCTGGCCTAAATCTTTAAGTTCAAAGTAAGTATGAACACCCACTGATGTTGATTCATACTGCCCTTTCAAGGGGATTATGAATCTTAAGAAGCAGTCTTATGATATTGTGAAAGAAAACTATGTTGGGCTCCCAAAATTACTAAGGAAAATTCAAGCCGGGAACTGCCTCTCATTCTATTCGAAGTCACCCCTCTGCTCACTGTGATAGATGCATGTCTGATTGCCTTCTTTGGAAAGGCTGATCAGAAACTCAAAAGAATATAACCTCCCTACTTTAGGTCTTCCTGCCTTTTCTTCACATTGTCCCACCTTTCTAGACCAAACTAGTGTATTTCCTAAAGATAGTGTTTGGTGTCTCCTGTCTCCCTAAAATGTATAAAACCAAACTGTGCCCTGAACACCCTGGGCACATGTCATCAGGACTTCCTGGGGCTGTGTCACGGCTACGTCCTCAGCCTTGGCAAAATAAATTTTCTAAATTAACTGACACCTGTCTCAGATTTTCTGGGTTCACAATATCCAGATATGTGAACAAGCACAAATACATCAAGGAGCTTGACAGATGATCTCCCAGATCAAACGAAATTCAACTTATTATTTAACCTGTCAAGAAGATCTGTGCTTTCCCGTTTGTTTCTATGTGTTCTTTCATTAATTTTCTTCAATATGACATGTCCCCTTCATTGACTTGTTCTGTTTGAAAATCTTCACTTTTATTTCTCTGCCAATAACCCACAGCTAAAGACCCTCATGCTACATACACACAAATATACTCTTCTACCCCCTAGTTCATCATTTTAAGATCTGACAGTTAAGAAAAAAATTCAGGCCAGGCACAGTTACTCACGCCCGTCGTCCCAATACTTTGGGAGGCCACGGAGGGTAGATCATCTGAGGTCAGGAGTTCAAGATCAGCCTGGCCATCATGGTGAAACCCATATCTATTAAAAATACAAAAATTAGTGGGGCATGGTGGTGGGTGCCTGTAATCCCAGCTACTCGGGAGGCTGAGGCAGGAGAATTCCTTGAACCCAGGAGGTGGAGGTTGCAGTGAGCCAAGATTGTGCCACTGCACTCCAGCCTGTGCAACAGAGCAAGACTCTGTCTTGGGGAAAAAAAATGAAAAAGAAAAAATTTCAAGAATAAGACAATAGGCTGGGTATAGTGGCTCATGCCTGTAATCTCAGCACTTTGGGAGGCTGAGGCAGGTGGATCACCTGAGATCAGGAGTTCAAGAACAGCTGGGCTAACATTATGAAGCCCCATCTCTACGAAATACACAAAAATTTTAGCTGGATGTAGTGGTACATGCCTGTAATCCCAGCTACTCGGGAGGCTGAGGCATGAGACCCTCTTGAATCTGGGAGACAGAGGTTACAGTGAGCAGAGATCACACCACTGCACACCAGCCTGGGCAACAGAGTGAGACTCTGTGTCAAAAAAAAAAAAGACTATAGAATTATTTCCTCAGTCCTATTCTGTTAAATATTTTCAACAAATTGGATAAAGAATAAGAACAAAACTACAAATTTTCAGATGTTGAACAAAGAATGCAGACAGAGTTGATCTTAAAAAGCTTACCACTTGAGCCAGAAACCACAGGATACATTTCACAAGATCACTGTAAATCTCAGCATGCAGGTGAAGTGGAGGAGGAAGCAGCGCCAGCTTGAAGAAGTTCCAGATGTTTCCATGAACCATGAGTTTAGCCTGACCTGCTAGTGACACAGCTGAAGTGTAATTGAATTCGGCTGTGTTTGCAGGCACAGAAGACTCCAGTCTTGAACACAGTCACTGCTTTGTACTGTGTTGGTCAGACCAAAGTTTAGCAGCTCTTCAGGAGCATACTGAAAAGCCAGACTTCTCTGGAAGACAATGAAAACTCTGAAAGTCATGTAACAGGATAATAAGTCAAAGAATCATGGAAGCTTACCCTGGAGAACACTAAGAAAGTCTCCAAATAATTCAAAAACCAGTATGTGGAAGGAGTTTTAAACTTGTTTTTCAGTGGTTTCTGAGCACAGACTTTGGGTCAACGGGTACCAATTATAGAGAAGAAGGAAAGATTCAATGTGTGAAAAAAAAATGGTTTTTTTGGTTTCTTCTTTTTTTTTTTAATGAGACAGGGTCTCACTTTGTACCCCAGCCTGGAGTACAGTGGCACAATCTCAGTTCACTTCAGCCTTGACTTCTGGGGTTCAGTCTTCCTGCCTCAGCCCCTATCCCCCCCACCCCCCAAGTAGTTGGGACTAGAGGTGCTTGCCACCACGCCTGGCTAATTTTTTTTATTTTTTTGTAAAGACAGATTTCACCATGTTGCCCAGGCTGGTCTTGAACTTCTGAGCTCAAGTGATCCACCTGTCTCAGCCTCCCGAAGTGCTGAGATTATAGGTGTGAGCCACAGCGCCTGGCCTAAAGTTTAATAATTAAAGACTTTCAGCAGTGAAATAGGTTTCTTCAAGAAGTGAGGTGCATCCTGTCAATCATAACATCAAGTTCTAGGCCCTGGAAGTTCAACTGAGTGATCAGATTGGGTCATTCTGCTTAGATGCTCCGTGTCTCCCCATTAAAATTAGAACAAAATGGCCGGGCGCAGTGGCTCACACTTGTAATCCCAACACTTTGGGAGGCCAAGGTGGGCAGATCACTTGAAGTCAGGAGTCCGAGACCAGCCTGACAAACATTAGGAAACCCATGTCTACCAAAAATACAAAATGAGCTGGGCATGGTAGCGCATGCCTGTAATCCCAGCTACTTGGGAGAATAAGGCAGGAGACTCACTTGAACCCAGGAGGCGGAGGTTGCCATAAGCTGAGATCACACCATTGCATTCCAGCCTGGGCAACAAGAGTGAAACTCCATCTCAAGAAAAAGAAAAAATTAGAACAAAATGCAAACTCCCCATCCTGGTCTACAGGCCCTGCATGACCTGGCTCTGCTGACCTGTATCAGTAGCTCTCTCTCTTTCCCACTCTTCATCTATGTATGCATTTACTCCAGGACTGTTCTTCAAGGTCAACCATGTGCCAGCACAGTTGTGAACACAGCAAGTAAAATCTTTACCCTGAAGTTGCTGACATCACAGTGGGAGAAGAAATACAAAATAAATAAATAAATAATAAACAAATAGATGAAGGGTTAAGGTAAGTGCTATGTAGAAAAATAAGCAGGGTAGGCCAGGCATGGTGGCTCACGCCTGTCACCCTGGCACTTTAGGTCGAGGCTGATGAATCACTGGAGCTCAGGAATTCAAGATTAGCCTGGGAAACATAGCAAAATGCTGTCTCTACAAAAAATACAAAAATTAGCTGGGTGTGGTAGTATGTGTCTGAAGTCCCAGCTACTCAGGAAGCTGAGGTGGGAGGATTGCTTAAACCCAGGAGGCGGAGGTTGCAGTCAGCCAAGACTGTGACACTGCGCTCCAGCCTGGGCAACAGAGTGAGACTCTCTCTTAAAAAAAAATAAAAAATACTAGTCATGGTGGCTCATGCCTGTAATCCCAGCACTTTGGAAGGCCAAGGTGGGCAGATCACCTGAAGTCAGCCGTTGGAGATCACCTTGACCAACATGGTGAAATCCTGTCTCTACTAAAAATACAAAATATTGGCCGGGAGCTGTGGCTCACCCCTGTAATCCCAGCACTTTGGGAGGCCGAGGCGGGTGGCTCTCGAGATCAAGAGATCGAGACCATCCTGGTCAACATGGTGAAACCCCATCTCTACTAAAAATACAAAAAATTAGCTGGGCATGGTGGCGCGTGCCTGTAATCCCAGCTACTCAGGAGGCTGAGGCAGGAGAATTGCCTGAACCCAGGAGGCGGAGGTTGCGGTGAGCCGAGATCGCGCCATTGCACTCCAGCCTGGGTAACAAGAGCGAAACTCCATCTCAAAAAAAAAAACACAAAAAAAAAATATTTAGCCAGGTGTGGTGGTGTAGTCCCAGCTGTAGTCCCAGCTACTCAAGAGGCTGAGGCATGAGAACAACTTGAAGCTGAGCAGCAGAGGTTAGAGTGAGCCGAGATTGCGCCACTGCACTCCAGCTTGGGCAACAGAGTTGAGACTTCATCTGAATATAAATAAAGAAATAAATAAATAAATAATTTAAAATATTTTGAAAAAGAAAAGAAAAAATAAAGCAGGGTAAAAGGAATGGCAAGTGATGGAAGAAGGTGCTATTTTAATGGGGCAATCAGGGCAGGCCTCTCTGAGGAGGTGATATTGGGGCTCAGAGGTGCCTTCCACTGTAGAGGTGAAAAGAATGTCCCTCTCCCTCTGAAGGCTTGATAATTTGCATCTATAAAACAAACTGACAACAGCTTAACAGAGAAAAAAGGCATATGAATTTATCAACATGTATAAACACAGGAGCCAGTGTTCAAAGTGTGAGACTCAAAGGAGGGACCAGATGACTGAAGTGTGTACACCATTGTAAGGTTACAGAAAGAATGGGAGCTTGGGGCTTATGGACTTGGGGGTTTAGTTTACGGGAAAATGAAGGGAGAAAAGCATGGCAAGCCAATTTTTACATAATTATGCATGACAATAATTGCATTATTTTTTGACATGGAGTTTTGCTCTTGTTGCACTACTCTGGAGTGCAATGGTGCGATCTCAGCTTACCGCCACCTCTGCCTCCTGGGTTCAAATGATTCTCCTGCCTTAGCTTCTCAAGTAGCAGAGGCTACAGTGAGCTGAGATGGTGCCATGGCACTCTAGTCTAGGCAACAGAATGAGACTCCATCTCAAAAAAAAAAAAAGAAGGAAGAAGTTACTATACATCCTGACCCTTCTTTTCTTCCACACGTAGATGTTAGTCCCTGAGATGTGAGATTGTCTCAAAAAAAAAAAAAAACTTATGCCCTCATTTCATGTTATTTGAACAAAAGACTATGGCTAACACCAGATCACAGCAATAGACATAAGAGAGAAATTTTTTTGTCTTGAATTATACATATTTAAAATGTAGGCCTTATGATATCAGTGTGAACTTTGCACTGGCCTGCTTGCTACAAGGAGAAACCACCTTTACAAAAATTATAACGGTGAAAAAAAGAGATCTGGCCTAACGAACTACTTATTTCTTTTAACCCCCAAACTGTCCTTGTTCATTTCTGGGTGTAGGCCAATCTAGCTGTAGGAGGAATTTAGTTTATAGTCTAACTTTGAACAAAGATGATCACAGCCCTTCCCAAAACAAATCCCTTCCTTGTCTGAGGATCAGACCACCTTTATAAAACTAACAAATAATTCACAAGATTAGAAATTATGGCTCCAGAGTCCTGCAACCAGAGGCCACAAGATTCCTACCCCCACCCCCACCCCAGTTGCTCCTATGGCTAACATTACTATTGTAAAACCTAGGACTGGTGTTTCAGATATTTTTCAAACTGTGCATACTGATGGCATCACCCAGACTGGTAAACTGGCTCATCTAGTCTCTGGCCCCCACCCAGAAAAAGACCCAGCACAAAAGGACACACTTAGACTTCCTATGGTTTTTATTTCCAACCTAACCAATCAGCGTTCCCCATTCCCTAGTCCTCTGCCTACCAAACTATCTTTAAAAAAAAAAGAAGCCTTAGCCTCTGAATTTTTGGAGAGGCTGATTTCAGTAATAATGAAACTCCAGCCTCCCGTTCAGCTGGCTCCACACATTTTACAACTCTTTCTCCATTGCAATTCCCTTGTCTTGGTAAGTCAGCTTCACTTGGGCAGTGGGCAGGATGAACCTGTCAGGCAGTTATGCTACCAGTGTGAGAGCAGACAGAGGACAGACTAGATTACCTTCCATGGAAACTATCTTGAGCAACACATGCTATGCTTCCTTTTTTTTTTTTTTTTTTTGAGATGGAGTCATGCTCTATCACCCAGGCTGGAGTACAGTGGTGCAATCTCAGCTCACTACAACTCCACCTTCCAGGTTCAAGTGATCCTCCTGCCTCAGCCTCCCAAGTAACTGGGATTACAAGCACGCACCACCATGCCCAGCTAATTTTTATATTTTTAGTAGAGATGGGGTTTCACCCTATTGACCAGGCTGGTCTCGAACTTCTGACCTCAAGTGATCTACCTGCCTCAGCCTCCCAAACTGCTGGGATTACAGGCATGAGCCACCACTCTGGCCTTATGCTTCCATTTTAATGTAGACCCTCCTAGAACACAAATTCCCTGACCAAGTGCCTTTGAGACCATCATTGAGGAAGGACCTTGGAGTCCTCCAAAGTCTTAATTCAGGTTAGTACAGTCATTGCTGGTTCAATCCTGTCCCTCTGGTTCAGGCTTGTCTCTCTCCAAACTGTCTCCATTGTCTCTCTTAGTAGGAAATTGACAGGAAAAAAAAAGAGGTGAAAAAGAAGGAAAAGAGATTTGTATATGCATCCTCTCTCTTCTCTATTGTACCTGTGAATTTTCACATAGTACAAAGCCCTGTTTGTGGAATTTCTAAATACAAGACATTCAAATATTCATGCTAATGCTAAAAGTCCATTGCATAGTGTGAACCCTAAAAGAGCCAGTTCTTCAAGATGCATACTGAGTGGCTAATGGGACCTAAATTCAAGCCAAGCAGCCATTTGCTGACTAGCGGTCATATAATTACTCTGTTTCTGGAAAACTCCCATGCTAGCTTAACTTTGGGACTTTCATAATTGTCTATTTCTATTTACATCGCCTAAATCAGCCAACAGACTGTGATCTACATCAACCAATCAACACTCAGCAAGTGTTGACCAATCAAAACTACATAAATTTGCATCCTTCATTTGCATAAGTGGACCAGAGTGGGGAACTGGGTGG